GTCTGGTCGCGAGACACTATAAAGTTTTTTTCATCAAGTCTTCACTTGTAAGTAATACTAGCAAACGTCCGTAAGTTGTCACGCAACGCGTAGGATCTTTTGTTGCAAGAACATGTATTGTCTTCATTACGACAGACCCTTGAAATTATATCGGCAAAGCGAATCAGCCAAACCATAAAATGTATCGTTTTATGCAATCTCATAGTTGGTCAGAACTAACAATTCGCAGTTAACCATCTCGTATTAGCAGAGTGTTCGAGTAAATAATCTATTGGCAAATTTATCTAGCAAAAAATTCAATGTTGTTGCACTAATCGAAACAATTCTCTCATCGGCAATTAGGTGTAAAATTTTGCTTGCATATAGTCCGTGTCTGCTGGGTGAAGTTAATTGCTGATTATTCACACAACGGTGATAAAGCCTGTGGCAAATAAGATTACAAAAAGGAAAACAAACAGAAAAATGTCTAAATGAAGAAAAGTGACCGGATACTATGACGGTAAAGTAACGGTTAAAGCACGAATATTGGTACTGTGATGAAACGAGAAATCGCACTAAGTCTGTAATCATACATACGGCACGCGTGCGCTTCATGCGTTTGTACGATAGGGTCATAAGACTCTTATCTATAGAAAACGAAATGAAGCACACGCAGAATTCGAAAAGCGAAATAAACGGTTGCGTGAATTATAGACAAAATCTTTGAATTGCATTCACTGCAGTTAACCAGCCAGTCTTTTTTTTTTTTTTTTTTAATTATTCATTAATGAACGCCACGATGCGTACCAATCATAGATTTAATCCTAGGTATTTTGGTCACTATTGGAAGCGGCGAGAACAGGTCGAAATGGAGCTGGGAAAAGGTTATTGGTTGGATAAGCTGCGAGGCTACAGGCTGTCATGGAGCGTTTGACAGAAGTATGGAGGACGTTGCGTTGTCGACGAAGGTACCATTTTTCGTCTACTTGAGCGCTACGCCATGGAGTTTAGAAGCAGCAGTTGCAGTAGCCGGTGTCTAGGAATGGTCGCAAAAACGTGTGTTCGAGATTATTTATGGGCAGTTGCCAATTCAGTACTGATTTGAATCTGTTGTGGGCAGCAAGCTAACATAGGATAAATAGCTAGTTGGTGGAATGGGGCAGCTTACGCGCGAGAATTTTATGTACGGATCCAGAGAGGCAATGAAAACCCCTACGCGTTGAGCCCGGAAAAATGGATTCTGCTGTAAACTGGATGCCTATCAGGTTACCGTTTGAGTTGAACATGTTTCCAGAAGGACATGCGCGGTAGGTGAGGTTCGTGTGTCTGTTGTACTATACAAGCTCGTTTCCCAGCAGCGCATTTCCAGTTTACTCCTATTCAAAAGTATCTTCAATTGGAAAAGTGATCGGTTGCAGAGAACGCTGAAGTGCATACGATTAAACGTCAATGGGTATGATCCCGACAGTCGAGAAGAGAATATTGGTGTGAGGATACGGAACAGCTTTTTTAAGAAGCGATAAGAGTGCGCGCAGCCTTAGATTACATATTAAGACACATACGTGGAGAGTGCAGCATTGTGATAGGCTTGTACTAATAAGTCGTTTAATTTTAGCTACCACCGGCGCTGTTGCTAGAGGCTCAAGTAAATAAATCGCCTTTTTGCTGGGACTAGTTCGTCGTTACTACAATATACTGGGGGATGTGTGCTCAGATACTTCAAAAAAAAAAATGCTTCTTACTGGGTAAACGGTAAGCCATAGCAGGGAACAAAATAGAACCGAGCTATAATCATAGGTTAGCCTTCATGTTTATACACTGGATACGCTGTGATCTATTTTTTCCGAGTGTTATTTTTCTATCGTTTGGTAATATCGTGGTTGAATCTACAGCCAGTGTGCATATTCTATTTCATCTAGTTCATATGTTTTTAAATTAAGTTACGCCTAAAATAAATAATAATAATATTTCATTGTGGTAGTTTGCATCATAAATGAATCGAACATTTAAACATACGAGACTTAACGCTGGTCCTTACACAAGGACTAGATCGGATCCCGTGTTTTAGTCGCTACGATCTAAAACACCGGTAGTGCTGAGCTGAGATCTAAGATCTGCCGTCAGCGTATCGTAGTTCTGTTAACGTCTCAATTCAATTTCGGTTTTTTGTTATTTGTTTATCCCTTTACGGGACGAGAGGTCCGAAAGCACCGCTATAGCTAAGCCTTTTTTTCTGTGATTCCAAGTAAATCAACGTATGTTGTCAATTAATAAGGGCCGCGAGTTGATTTAATTTATATATATATATATATATATATATATATATATATATATATGTTGATTGATCATATATCATAGCTTTTCCTATGTCGGGTCACAACTCAAACATTGAGCTAAGTAGAAAGACTTTGCCATTTATTTTCGCAAAATTCAATACTTATCATCTGGTGTAAATATTTTAAATAATTATTCATAGGTACCAA